AAGTCCTCTGTGGGCCTCTATCTACTGGGGACTCCTTTGCCCTGTATTATTATCTCAGGGTAGAACATGGTAGCTAGAATCTCGATTTCCCCAAGAGAATTCAATTCCTCATCCCTGGAACCTGTGCATGTTACCATTCCTTGGCAAATGCGACTGAGTTGTCAGCCTGAGATGTGAAGATCCAAGATTCTCTATGGGTGCAGAGCAATCACAAGGAGGAAGCTGGGGGTCAGGTGGAGTTGGGTCAGCATGAAGTCACTGCTCTTTGGGAATCACCAGCCAAGCAGAGCATGTTCCTCTGGAAGGCAGAAAGGATGGGATATGACCAGTCTTTCCATCAGCCTCCAGATGGACTGGCCCATTGACGCTTCTGTTCTAGCCCAGAACACTTGTTTGATCTCCTGACCTTTCAACCTGTAAGATAGTGTCCGTTGTACTAAGTCAGAATGTGATATTAGCAGCCACAGGGAACGAATACTCAGATATTCAAGGGGCTCCACCATCCCATCCCTCATTCTATGGGAGAGCTTCACCACCACCCCTCCCACCAAGGGATCAGGGGCCACATGGTCTCCATGGTTTGTCATGGATGGGTCCAGCATTGTTGGACTCTGAACAGTAGGGGGACGGTTATAGTAGAGCTGAGTGAACCCCAGAGTCATGGCAGTGACAGACTTACAGTATTGGGTATCCAAAATAAAGGCGGAGACCCTGAGGACAGAGGCTGGCTGCCATGGCTGCCATGGACTCACATGACTCCATTCCATGGGGAGGCTGGGCGAGGATGGCCTTACAGGCAGCCAGCTCAGCGCTTTCTGCTTGGCAGGCAGTCAGCCTTCCCCGGCACCTCCTCTAAGGGAGGAGCAGGAGAAACGATGACTGGGTGTATATTGCCTTTGTTCTGTGGAACGATGGCCAGGCTCTGTGCTGCCTCTGACCTAAATGTGTCACCGTGGGGTGGAAGCTGGCCCACATTACCAGACACCGGGCCGCAGCATTTAAGTTGCAGAGAGAGGCCTTTGTAGGGAGCCATTAGCCGAGGGAGGACGAGTTCATGGAAAGAAAGGCTCGGAAATCCAGCTCATTCTACATGCTTAGCTCTCTGCACCACCGGGAAAAGGTGCAAAGCCTCTGGAGCTCTGCCAGGAACAGACAGGCTGACTTGCTAAATTGGCAAGGGCTGCAGTACCTGCCCCTGCAGCTGAGCCTCTAATGGCTGGGGAGGGCAGGTGGTGTGGAGAGCTGGGTTACAGAGACACAGCGTAGAAGAAGCAGTTGTCTGTCCTATTGTAGGACTGAGCTTTCTGCCCCTGAGATCCTGGGGTGCTAGAGGTATTTGTCAGGGATACACTAAGGTCCTCAGCTCCTCTAAGGGGCTGTACACATGTCCTCCCACACTGGCAAGAACGTCCCGTGCATCCCCCTCACCTTGTGAAGGGATCTTGGGATCTGTCTCAGCAGTGCTAATGGCCGCCGTTGGCTGATCATCTGCCCTGAGTGGAACATGGTGGCGAGCCTTCATCATTTAGTGACACTGGGAAGACACAGACCTTCAGGGGAGGCCAATTAAGGAAAGCCCAATTTCCTGTTCCTGGCTGAGCAGCCTGCAGAGGAGGGAGGGAGGAGAAGAGAGAGAGAGAGAGAGAGAGAGAGAGAGAGAGAGAGAGAGGCTTTGATTTTCACATGAGCAGGGATCCAAGAGGCCACAGGGTGGTGAAGGTGGCTGGCAGGGCATCAGGTGACCGGGAAAGTATCAACCCCTCAGTCTCAATCCTCCCCCCCTCAGTCTCCCCCACCCAGCAATACCAGTGATGTAAGGTTTCCCAGATCTGTTTATCTTGTGCTGGAAGCATCGTCTGTATAGAAACAGAGATGGGAGGTAGGGGTGTTCCAAGAAGAGTCTGCTCACACATCTGGTTCTCTTAATTTTTTTTTTAAGATTCAGTTATCATTTTTATATGTGCACGTACGTCAACTTGACACGAGCTAAAATCATCTAAGAGGATGGAAACTTAATTAAGAAAAATGCCTCCGTAGTATCAGCTGTAGGGCATTTTCTTAATTAGTTATTGATGAGGAAGGACCTAGCCCACTGTGGGTGGGGCCATCCCTAGACTGGTGACCCTGTGTTCTATAAGAAAGCAGGCTGAGCAAGCCATTGTGGAGCAAGCCCGTAAGCAGCACCCCTCCATGGCCTCTGCATACACTCCTGCCTCCAAGTTCCAGGCCTGCCCTTCCTTCAGTGATGGACTATGATGTGGAAGTGTAAGCCATGTAAACCCTTTCCTCCCCAACTTGCTTTCGGCTATAATATTTCATCACAGCAATAGAAGTACATGTGTGCCTGTGTGAACTTATGCACACCACGTGAATGCTGGTGCCCAGAGGCCCAGAGGGCATCATCCTCTGGGAGCCCAGAGGATGCTCCCTGGGACTGGAGTTACAGGTGGCTGTGAGCTCTCTGATGTGGGTGCTGGGAACAGAACCTGGGTCCTGTGCAAGGGCAGTGAGTACTCTCAACTGATGGGCCATTTCCCCAACATTCCCACCCCCCCTTATAAAAAAAGACTTATTTTCATACTTGTGTCTTGAGCTGGCCATGTGCAGTTGCCTTGAGTGCATGCCTGATTGCCTGCCCTGAGTTGGTTGAGCCAGGTAGATTTCTACCTTGGAGAGAGAGCTCATTGGTCCATTCAGTGGAGGCTAGCAGATGGTTGGTCTATCCACCTGTCATTCAGTGAGCCCCAGTATCTCTTCTGCTGTATTTATCCCAGGCTGCAGGAGAGGCCAGGCAACTGAGAGTTGGGTCCTATGGAGGGAGTTCCTTGGCCTGTTTATCTCAAGTGATCATACAGACTCTGTGTTGCTAAGAGACCCAAACTCTCTTAGCTTTCATCCATCTCTGTGACCCTCTCAGGGAAGGGGCTAGACCAACATGGTCTCCCCTTGCATTATAGGCAACTCTGCCTACTAGGGGTCCAGGCAGGCAAGGGCTAGCATCTAGGCCTACCCAATGGGCCTATTCATATGCCTGAGGCTGCTCTCCAGGTCCCACCTAGATGCGTGCTCTGGGCAGCATATCCTCCCCAGTTAGTGTCCCTGGAACTCTGACAGAGGCTAAGGCATAGGAACTCACTGAGTGTCTATCACTGAAGATGTGTGTAGCTCAGCCCTCACAGTTGCACCAAGAGGCAAGGGGGAATTGAGGCAGCCTTGCCTTACAGTCAGGATTAGCCATGGGATGGGTAGGGTGCCGTGTGAAACCTAGGGCTTATGGGCCGAGGACCCCAAAAGTCCTGAGCCCTCTGCTGCCTCTGTGGGCAACAAGTGTCATGGACAAGACTCTTAGCACCCCAATTCCTCTGTGTCAGTGTCCCCAGGAATCCCAGTACAAGACCAGGGTCAGCATGCTTGATGTCTAGAGCCCTGGCAGTGCTGTATACGTGTGCCCTTCGAGTGATCAGGGCCTTGGCCCTTGTGGAATTCACATCATCCCCACTCCCCATCACTGCCCTCTTCTAGGCGCTGGCCGGTCAGTCCAGCGTGTGTATCACCTGTTCACGCTGCTAAGCTCTCACTGAGCTGTCTGTCCCCACCTATCATCCTTTGACTGTATCCTTGGCATCTTGAGCTGGCTGGGCCCTGCAACTGAAGACAGTGGTAGTAGGGTCCTCCCTCTGGAATCTTCTGGGCTAGCCGGGTGGAGTCAGAGAAACCTGTGAATGGGTTGGAGATAGGCACGTGCCTTGAGTCCTGCTCTTAGGAAGACCGTCCTTGTTGTGTCCTTCTCCAAGGGCTTCTCCAGGTGGTCTCTGGCAAACCTCACCCAGAACCCCAAGGAGTGTCACAGCCTCCCCTCCCTAAAGTATTACCCTGCCTGGCCAAGTTAAGGGAGGGTGTGCAAATGTCTCTCTTCACATGTGACAGATCATGGAATGCTGTGGGTGCCTAGTGAGCAAGCGCACCTTAGGACTCTGCTCCTGGTTCCATCCTGCACTGTCTTTGCCCTGAAGGGCAAGGTAGCAGGCTGAAGGGACCTCTGTCCCTCTCTAACTAAGCTCTACCCTCACTGCTCCTAGATGGCTGTTTCTGTTCCTATGTCCCTTTCTGCTAGGATTCAAGACTGCCCAGAGTGTGGCCGAGGGCTATCACTCAGGACTCCCTCCTGGGGGAACCGAGCACAAAAAGTAGTATATTGAGAGGGATGGCCCTTCACCCCCAGAATCTGGCTGCATTAAACTGAGTGATCTTGGGTGTGATACAAAAAGAGGGATGATGGGATACTGCCTAGGACCCCTCTTCTCATGCCAGTATGGGAAAAAACCTGCACAGTTGTGGGTTGTGACGTGAGCGAGTTCTCATGTACTCAGAACAAAGGGCAATTCTGTGGCAACTTTGACCCCTGCAGTTTGAGGCCACTACCCTCCTCAGCTCCTGGCTTCCTTTACCTTCGGAGCTGCCAGGTTTTCTGCCCAAGACCCCTCCCCAAACCATCTGCAGTCTGACCCCTTAGTTTTGTGCAGGGCTTGATTCTGATCTGACCTTCAGGAGGGTCTTTCCAGGGGTACCCCACCCCTTTCCCAGACCTCTTACTACCTCCAGGCTCCTCTGCATCCAGGTAGCTTGAATCTTGCTTGCCTCTGTTCTGCTGCTGGCACCTCCTGGAGCCTGGAGCCTTTCTGTCACCATTGTGTTAACCCAGTCACATGGTGGTGTGTGCCCCAGGGTGTCCTGGGTGGTGATGACTGGGCTAACTGGCTTGTGTAGTTCTCCTTTGCACCATGATTGAGCGAGGAGGGGTCAGAGAGCTGCTAACATCCTCAGGGACAGCAGAATGGAACCAGAGCACACCTGCCAACTGAACGCTCAGCAAACCTGAGGAAGTGCAAGCGCTCCAGCCCCTTTCAGAGTCTGAACCCATCTGCTGCTTGTGAGGTGGGCAGTGTTGTCGGAGGGAACAGTGGGCATAAGGGCTCATCACTTGGCTCTTCGCTCCACAGAGGAGGAGCTCCGGAAGCTTCGAGAAGAGACCAACTCAGAGATGCTGCGGCAGGAGCTCGATCGGGAGCGACAGCGCCGGATCGAGCTGGAACAGAAAATACAGGAGGTGCTGAAGGCCAGGTGACACCCGCATTCATCTTTTCCTACCACTGTAGCGATACTCCTGAATCTAGAAAAAAAAGAGAGGTGGATTTAGTTCATAGTTTCAGAGTTTGAAGAATACGGTGCTGGCGTTGGTTCAGTCCTGGTGGGGACTCAAGGTGCATGATGGGAGAATATCTAGGAGAGAGATTACATCCTACTGGAGGCTGGACAGAGTCAAACACATTTAATGACCCTTTGGTGAGAACTGACTGATTCAGGGTCCCAGAGAACTACATTAATCTCTTCCCGGGGATGCTCCCTCTACCAGGCTCCATCTTTGAAAGGTCCCCCAACCCCTCCCCCATCAGGCCGTGACCCTCTGAAAGAGAAACTACAATTTAAGCCACAGCATTCACCCCCTCCTTGGTGGGCAGGGTTTCCTGGACCCTTAACTCACATCCCTGCCATGGCCATGGGGCAGGAGTGGTGGGAACTAGGCCATCTGAGAATTCTTGTTCTTGATCCCTAAAGGAGAACAAGGTGAGTTGTATTGCTGGCCTGCTCTGACTCCCCAGGTTTGAGTCCTGCCTGAGCCTGTCCAAGCCACGTTATGAAAAAGTATCTTTCTGGGAGGCGGGGATTAACACACCTAGCACCAGCCAGCCCTATGTAGAGAGCTAACCCAAGAGGGTCTAAAGACACCAGACCACCAGTTGTCCTCTCCAGTCTTGCCTAGAAGATGCTCCCTGACCTGTGGACCCTCTCTGACCCTCTTACTTAGCCCCAAAGGGCTGGCTGAGACTCTTGACCTCTTCTGGGGATACCCTGACCCTGCTGTGTGTTTCCCTGTATTCATTGCCCTTCCCCAGCAGCTGCTACAGCCCTGCTCAAGCCCTGTGGCCTACACAGAGGCCTCACTGCTTCTGCAGCTCCAATGCAGGGGTCCTGAGCACCCTGCCCCCCCCAGCACCTCACTGCATACCACTTCTGTAGATCTGCCCACCGAGATCACACCCTCATCTTCCCAGGCTCACTCGGTGGGTGATGTTGCCACTTCAGCTTCTGCAAGTGATATTTATAGGTGACAGCTTTTCCTTGGATAAGTCCTCTAAGCACTTGGTCTCCTGGGCACCTGCAGCCTCCTTACTCATTCACTCCACTGATGATCCACACAAGTGTAGCCTCTGCTTTGACTGCCTCTGGCAGGAAGCTTTTCTGTACAGAGCATCACACAGGTGACAATACTGAACTATAGACTCTGGGTCCTTCTGCACAACAGCCACAGTGCCACCTGGAAGATAAGGTTGGGGACCCAGAACCCCAGCTTTCCCTACTTGGCATCCACCACCCTTACTCCACTGTACTCTGAAGCCCTGTCCCTGCCCCTGCTAGGCCATAGTGAATGACTCTCAGGAGTTTGGGGCACACACTGCTGCTTCTGGATTACCTCAACTGGACCATGCTTGTCCATGGGAGTGTCTTCCTTGCTGGGATTTTGCCCATCGAGTATGAAACACGCTGGTCGCAGTACTCACAGCTCAGTTTCAAGTGCCAGGCTCCTGCGTGGTCACATCCACTTCCTCCTGGGTCTTAGTCCTCAGTAGCTGCTCTGAGAAGCCCGGGTCTTGGAAAGTGAAGCAGCCTATTCCCTGTTCTGATATTCTTGCTGACAATTCATATGCTTTATAGCATATGCTGTTAGTCAGGCTATCCTGTCCCCCAGCCCAGACCCCTGTGGCCTGTTTAGAGTTTACTGGGGTCGGGCTCACCATGGTGCCTATTTGGGGAGGAAGATCTTACCTTACCTTTTAGCCCTGGCTACAAGACCAGTGTTCCCCACACCAGAGGCTTCCGCTAGAATTCTCCTGGGTTGAACACTGACCTTAGAGATTCAGAAGTTAAATGAGTCTTGTTATACATAAGATGCTTTTTTCCATGTTGCCTCCCCAGCCTCCCATGAAGGCCAGGCTACCCCTGGTGGTCCTACCAGGGGCACTCAGCTATAGGCTGACCCTGTTCCTGCTACCGCCCCAGCAGCCTCACCTGTTGCTGAAGTTCAGTTCCATGCGGTGTTGCTTCCTGTGTTTGCACTCATAAGCTTCACCTTCCTCCTGTTTCAGGTCAGAGGAGCAGCCGGCACAGCCTCAGCAGCCGCCGAAGGGACAGAGCCAGACCAGCAATGGCACAGGCACAGGTAGGCCCCTGGGAAGGAACGGTTCTCTCCCCAGCCAGGCCTCTGCCATGTGGGAATCTCCTGCCGTCAAAACGGGGTTAGCAGCGTCTCTCACTGTGAGCTTGTGAGTCATCACACAGGCTCAGGTCACTCCAAAGGTGATCTCATTTCCTCACACAAATGTGGCATGTTGTCGAGTTTGGCCTGGCCTCCCGAGAGGCACCAGAAGGCACACTGGTTACACAACGCCGACTTGGTGACCTGTTCTCTGTGACTGGTCATCGCATGTGGGTACTGAATGGAATGTGGTGACAAGGAATGCCCTGACCTCCTCGGTAGGGAGCCTTTCCTCCTCCCCTGGCTTCCTGCCTTAGTGCCCACATCATCTTGACACGTGTTTCATATTCTAAAGCTGTCCCTCAGGGGAGCTGGGAACTCCATTCTCTGTTCAGTTCTCGTGGGCCCTGACTGCATCCTCCCTGACAGTGTCCCTTCTGCGTGCTGACCAGTCACAAGGCTCTCCCTCCCTGTGCCAGTAAGCCTGGCATAAACCATGGTTAGATCATTGGCTTCAGGCTGCCCACATCAGGAAGTGACCTCTCCTAAGGTTCTCCCAGATCCAGCCTCACTACGCCCACTGGCCGCTGGCCCCAGTGCAGGTTCAGCCTCACTGCACCCACTGGCCGCCGGCCCCAGTGCAGGTTTGGCAGTTGCATTCCCTGGGACATGGCCTCCTTGGGCCATCTGGAGCATACCTGGCCAGTTCCCAGGCCTAGATGCAGAACCCGTAGCTTGTGAATCTTGGTTACCAAGTGAGAAGCAGCACAAGAGACTCTTAGTGCTTGGTGATAGTGAGGATGAAGGAGCATGGGATCAAAAGACCCCAGCTCCTTGGTCCTTCACAGGGCTGGGGACCCTTTATTCTCTTGTCAAGGTCAGACCTTGTTTTGTTTTTCTGTTTTTTTAAAAGGTATATTTTTATTTTATGTGTATGAGTGTTTTGCCTGCATGTCTGTCTGTGTACTGTGTGAGTGCCTGGTGCCCCAGGAGGCTTGAAGGCATTAGATCACTTGAAACAGTTGTGAGCTGCTGTGCAGGTGCTGGGAATTGAACCTGGGTCCTCTGGAAAAGTAGCTGGTGCTCTTAACCACAAAGCCATCTTTCCAGCCTCCCAAGCCTAATCTTGATTGCCATGATCTCCAGGCGTGTTGGGCTGTGTGGGGCTATAACCCTTGGTCACCCTCCAGGACAGGACAGGATAGGGAGGATGTGGCAGGGGAGAGGGACCACACCCTGACTCTCTCACATCCAAGATAAATGAAGGAAATTAGCCAGTGTGTGTGTGTGTGTGTGTGTGTGTGTGTGTGTGCATGCCTCAGGCTGTCCCTGAACCTCAGGTGTCAGAATGAAGCACTTCAAGCCTTTCTCTTCCTGGGAGCTAGCCCAGAGGAGCATGGGAGAAAGCATCCCCTGCCCTGGTTATGGAAGTTCAGCAGGGGTCTCAGCTCTCCCCTTCATGGGTTGGCTTCAGAACTAGGTGAAGACTACCCCCTTCAGGCAGCTGACCATGTTCCCTGGATCTGGGGTCCACAAACCACATCCCTGTCTAGTTTGTCATCTTTTATACAAGGCTGATCCTCCTGCATTAGCCTCCCAAGTGCTGGGGTTGTAGATGTTCAGCACCATTCCAAGCATGGATTTACTTCTTCTTTTGTTTTGTTTTGATTTGATTTTGTTTTTTTGAGACAGGGTTTCTCCGTGTGAGCTTTGGAGCCTGTCCTGGAACTCGTTCTGTAGACCAGGCTGGCCTCGAACTCAGAGATCCACCTGTCTCTGCCTCACAAGTGCTGGGATTAAAGGCATACATCACCACTGCCTGGCATAGATTTACATTTTTAAATAGGTTTTTATGTGTTTAAAGGGTTGGAAAAAAAACAGAAGGAAGATTATTTCTCAATAAGTGAACCTTCTGTGAGTCCAGTGTCCATAAACAGTCCAGTGGAAGCACAGGCTAGCCCATCTTTTGACTGATCTTTAGACTGCCTCTGGCTTCTTGATGAGCTTGCCTGCTCACCTAGATCTACCCGAAAACCTTGGTGGTCTGTAATAGAGTCAGATAAGCCTAAAGGACCCCCCTGCCTGGGTAGCCCCAGGGGACACACACTTCTGCCCCTGGCCGCCTGTGTTTTGCCTCTTGTGTCCAGGCCGAGTGACTTTGTGTTTATGTTGACTGCTGTCCACTCGCACTGGGCCCACAACACACCTGGTGTGTTTTCTTAAAGTTTTAATGGACACATGATATCTGTACCTGTTTGTGGCACCACAGGTGTCTGGTGACCATGCTCCTGCCATTTCCATTCTCTTAAATTATTTCTTAAAATTATTGTGGAGCAGCATCCCCTGCAGGCAATTCCACATCTTGTTTTCTTTTGTTTAGTTAGTTTGTTTATTTATTTATTTTGAGACAGTGTCTCTCTATATAGCCCTGGCAGTCTTAGAACTCAATTTATAGACCAGGCTGGCCTCCAATTCATATAGATCCGCCTGCCTCTGTCTCCCGTGTGCTGGGATTAAAGGATTAAACCAACTCACCTGGCATCCACATCTTATTTTCTTTAGTATGCAGTTGGGGGACATCAGTGGGCTCTGGCCAGACAGCTTTCTCTCTGACTTTCTCACACTTGGGTTGCCGTCTGTGGTCTCAGCTGTCCATAAAGAAAGTGAGTGAGACACAGCCAATCACTGTGAGCTCATCCCAACCAGCTGCTTGGTCCCTGGGCCCTGTACCCCAATGCACACACTGACTGGTCTTTAAGGCCTGGTGTGGTGAGCCCTCTCAACCACTTCCCAGATAAACCAGAGGTAGACCGGGGTAGGGGGTCAGAGGGGGATGAAGGGTGGGATAGAATGTCACCATGGTCTGACATGGTTTTGACATAAGCCCAAGGCTGCTGGAAAATTGAGATCTGGAGGTTTCTGGGGTCCAGTGTGAGGATGGAGACATTGTGCTTTTGAGGGTCTCTGTGGCTGGGGTGGCTCTGGCCTGCAAGGAGCAGGCCCTTCAAAGACTTCTCTGGCTGGGTCCCTTCACATCTCGCTCCACAGTGAAACCCTCACTCGAAACATTTCCTGTTTCCCCACCCAGACTGACATTTTCTGTGAGGCCACATCCCTGGTCCAACCTTAGAAGTTGTGTGGACCCTGCAGCTTCCTCTCTGATCTCTACTTCTTCCCTCAGACCGTCGCAGTCAGGGACTGTCGTCCCGTATACAGAAGTGGTTCTATGAGAGGTTTGGGGAGTATGTGGAGGATTTCCGCTTCCAGCCAGAGGAGAACACGGTGGAGACGGAGGAGCCCCTCAGTGCCCGCAGGTAGGGGCGCCTCACCAAGCCCAAGGAGCTGTGTGCTAGGGCCAGGGCCCTACACCAAACTTTGGTGGACTGGCCAGCATCCCTTCTGAAGTTGATGCCACAAGCTCCTAGAGGTCCCCGTGCCCCTGTTTCTGGGAAGTCACGTGAGGGTCGTGTGTGCACAGTATCCACCATAGGGGCTGGATCCCTTGATGGTTCATGGTCCTGGTCAGTATACAGTGGCTCCCCTTACCGGACACTCTCATAGACACGGGGTGGGAGGGAAGCTCTGGAGAGTTAGCCCGTCCCAAGTGCTCATGAGGTAGACGTGACAGATGGGAGGGCTGGTCTGTTGTGGAGTCACCCCGGCCTTCATAACTCAGGAACCAGCATCAGAGGCACCCAGCATTGTCCTCTGTGTCACTGTGCATGTGTCTCCAGGCCCCTGAGGGACCCAGGTACTTGGATGTCCCCTTACTGCCCGTGTGCTAGTGGTGCGTGCACAGCGGGGCGTCCTGAACGTGCTGGTGACTTCACACTGATCCTTATCTCTCTCCCTCTCTCAGGTTAACTGAAAACATGAGACGATTGAGTAAGTACTGTGGGCTTGGTGTAGAAGAGAGAGGAGAGGGAGGTGTGGGGGAGGGGAGCTGAACAGAACTCTCCAGAAAAACATCTAAGGGCAACTCCTCCCCTGTCTTCCCTGAGGTGAAAGCTTGTAGTGGCTGCGCCTGAGCCGTTCCACATTCGGGGGCTGATGGGGAACCCAGCTTGCTCAGCAGTTAGGGCAGTGGTTCTCAACCTTCCTAATGCTGCGACCCCTTAAATACAGTTCTTCACGTTGTGCTGACCCGTCCTCCCCAACCACAAAACTATCCTTGCTGCTACTTCATCACTGTAATTTTGCTACTGTTATGAATCGTAATGTAAATATTTGTGTTTCCTGATGGTCTTAGGAAATCCCTGTAAAAGGGTCATTTGACACCGAAAGGGGTCATTACCCACGGTTGAGAACCGCTGATTTAGGATGAAATATGGCTCAGTTCTGTGATACTCCCCAGGCCCCACAGAGTGCACATGGCAGCAATCCTCAATACCTCTTCCCATTCCCTCTTTCCTGCTACTTGGGGGCCTGTGCTCGGAGCAGGTGGCATCTCCCTGTGGGAACCACGGTTAATGATCAGGAAGGGCACTAGCAGCAGGAACCTCCAGGGGGTTGGGTCTTGCATTGCCGAGCTGGGTTTCCTTCTAGCTGGGTGACCCATGTGATCCTGCTCATGTGCTAAGAAGCAGGCCAGCTCTGTGCTGACCGTTGCTATCTGTTCTGTCCCCCAGAGCGTGGTGCCAAGCCGGTCACTAACTTTGTGAAGAACCTGTCTGCCTTATCCGACTGGTACTCCATCTACACCTCTGCCATCGCCTTCACCGTGAGTGTTCTCACAGGCTGGGGAGGGCCCACAGGATGCCCGAACCAGTCTTCCTCGTGAGGCCCCCAGAGGACAGCCCGCAGGCAAAGCTCTCCCTTGGTTTTTGAATGTTCTCAGCCTCAGTTTCTCCATCAGCATTATGGGTGTGTGTAGTGCTCTCAATCTTAGATCAAAGACCCTTGAGAACGTAATGACTGCTGTCTCTGCATGGCATGTACCTCATTGCCGTCTCCTCAGGAAAAGCCTCTTGGCTCACTGTTTGGTTGTGACTAGAGGCTTGACCACATGTACCCCAGTGGTGGGACCAGGGAGGCTCCTGACAATGTGTAGTGTCAGAAGACTGCAGGCGACCTATCTACCCATTAAGGCCTCCTGGCCAGAAGGAAGCCACAGCCTGGGCACCTTCCAAGGATTCACAGATAGTGCCCTCCTGAGGAGGAGGCCATCTGTAGGGGTTGCCCAGCTAGTCCTACCCTAGGAGGGTCCTAAGACAACCCTAACCTTGGGTCAGACCCTCTGGTTCCCTCCCAGGGACTCACTGCACACCAGGTAGACAGGCACTTTGCACACTCACAGCTGAAGCTATGAGGGAGGGCTCCACCCACCCGGACCTCAAGGTCCACTTCCCTGCCACCCTCACAGATGCTCCGCAAGGGTTCCCTGCCTGAGGTCCACATGCTGTCTCACTAAGAGACTTACTCTTGTTCATGCCCACCTTCTGGCTTTCCCTGTCTGAGTATTACTCAGGGCCTCAGGCTCCTGCAGTCAGCAGTGGCGAGCCTCCTCATCAGCTGGCAGAACCCACACTGGGGACAGGCGAGACATTTTCACTGGGCCCCGCCGTCCTCTTCTGATCCCTACTCATAAAGGGCAGTCTCCCTGTGCACGGCCTGACCTCTCAAACTGGAAGCAGCCTTTCTGATTGCCCCATCCCACATGCCCTTGTTCAACAACCTGAATGAATGTTTGGAGATGTGGGACTGGTCTCCCTAATGAAGGGTCATCTTACTGCTGGGAAGAAGCAGGCAGGATGCATCTTATGCTAGACTACTGTTTGGCTGGCCTAATTATGTCCCCGACCTTCCGCCCTCTCGCCCTCAGGTGTACATGAATGCTGTATGGCATGGCTGGGCCATCCCCATGTTCCTGTTCCTAGCAATTTTGAGGTTGTCCCTCAATTACCTCATCGCCAGGTAGGTGAGCCAGGCTGTCATGTGGCTGCATCGCACATGTCCACGCTGTGTGCCTGCTTCCTGTACTGCTGTATGTACCCCAGGCTGTGTCATGGACTGCTGTTTGTGGGTGGTCCTCTGAGAGGCTCTCGATACTTTAGTGAGCAGACAGTGGGTGGCTGAGCTACAGTATCACCTCCAACCCCCTCCTCCCTGAGGTGCTGTGTGTTTGGCAGGAAGTTCTCCTCAACCCTGGGGTGGGTGGATGAAGCTGCAGGGCTCTGCACCCCATAAACATCCTCATGGTTCTTGGTTGTGAAAAGGAAGCAGGTAAAGCTAGAATCCACAGTGTAAGCAGCACACACACGCACACCTGCGTGACAGGCGCTTTACTCCATTATTCTGTATCCTTACTGAACATCCCTTTCTGGGGAAGCCACATCTGGGATGAACCCTTGCCCGCACTCCCAGGTTAGACTTTCTCTATGCTTGCTCTTAGGAGTGGACCTTAGCTTTTTGCCCTGGCTTGTGAAGAGCCCTTGACTCCAGATTTCATCTCAGCCCCTCAAAAGATTACAAGTCCACATACCAGTCACTCCATCCTCTTCTGTGCCTGCTGCAGGGATTTATTTGAAAATTATTTTTGTAGGAAGCACACTGAAATGCCTTTGAAGGAGTCATAAGTCCCCATTAGTCCCCAGCCCCTAATCACCACTAATCCACTAAAACTTTATTAACAGACCAGTCAGAGGGCACAATGAGTTCAAACAAAACAGTGTGGCTACTTTAGCCAATTACAGTGCTAAACTTCCCCCTATCAGCAATGGCTGCTATTGCATATGCCCCAGCAGAGGGGAAACCAGCGTGGATGACAATGACCAATGAGATCTCAGGCGAGCATTGTAGCTTCAGGAGTCTCTTCTAGGTAGCCAGCCCTGAAGGGGCAGATGCCCCTACTCTAGCTAGTAACTCAGCTGGAGGCTCGACTTTTGTTCCCCAAAAGTGACACTGTTTTCATGGTTTGGGTGGCTTCTGTTTTTCAGGGGCTGGCGGATACAATGGAGCATCGTGCCAGAAGTGTCTGAAGCTGTGGTGAGTCATGACGGCAAATTGTCCCTTTGTCAGGACTCACAACCTGGGGGCACGTCATGGCTAGTCCAGATGATCATTTCTGCCCTGGCCAGCCATTCCAGCCTAAGTTCCAGGAGGCTACCCGCTCAGACACTCAGCTGTCTTAAGTTTCGCTGCCCAGAAGCAGATTGCCCTGTCCATCTGTCCTGGGTGCTGTTTTCTCTCTGGAATTGATGTGGGGGCAAACAGGGAGCTACTGTGGCCACCATACAACCTGCTGGGTGGGGAGACAGACAGGATACCACACAAGTAGTCATGTCTCCATCCTGGGTGCCGGAACGGCAGTCTGGCCCCTGCCTGTTGGGACACTCACACCTGTGGACTCGTTAACAAGGCCCTGGGTACTTTTATACTACAGGGGGATGGCTGTGACAGAGGCCACATGGCCCCTCAAATCTGATTATTGGCAGAAGTTTGCTTTAAAGGGACTGTTGGGCCTGTGGGGCAGAGGGAGGCCACCATGCCTGTGGGCACAAGTGACATTCTGTGGAGTACCTAGGGAATGGGGTGGTCTCCAAGGAGGCAAACCTGTATCTTGCCCAGTCCTGGGACTGGGAGACCCTTAGGAGACTCTTATTGAAGCAATAGAGCAGTGGTTCTCAACCTTCCTAACGCTGCGACCCTTTAATACAGTTCCTCTTGTTGTGATGACCCCAACCATCAAATTATTTTCGTTACTACTTCATAACTGTAGTTTTGCTACTGTTATGAATCGTCATATAAATATCTGATATGCAAGGTATCTGATATGTGATCCCTGTGAAAAGGTCATTTCGACCCCCCCCCAGGTCATGACCCATAGGTTGAGAACTGTTATAAAGAATCATGTGAACTTTACACAGATCTGGGCCTCAGTTTCCCAACCTGTCAAGGAGTGGGTGGGGACAATGCTGACAAGACATAGCGTTGCAGTGAGCCAGGGCCTTGGTCTGCCACTGTGTCTGCTCGCCTTCTGGGGCCCCACAACCTGCCCGCCCTCTGCACTGGGACAAGGCAGCAGGCACAAGGGGAGATTTCACCCCGAGCCCAGCAGATGTCTTCATACCCGGTCCTCTGACAGTACAGGGACCGCAGTGACCCACAGACCCCTGGGGCCGGGAGCTTTCCTGCTGTTTTGTCAGTAATTTTTCTGAACTGTTAAATTTCAGTGGAAAAATTCTCTCTCCCCTTTGACTGAAGGAACCTGCCAAGGAAGATCTGACCGTGTCTGAGAAGTTCCAGCTGGTACTGGACGTCGCCCAGAAAGCACAGGTACCACTGCTGAGCCTGCCTGACACCCCAGGAGGGGGGACCCCTCACATGGCTGCTGTAGGTGGACCTGAAGTTCCATGCGTGTTCTAGTGGATCAGTCTCACTCTGGTGAGGTGGTAGGGGAACGTGGCTTCCTGATGGAATCTCTGACCTGATGTGAACGGAGCCTTTTGCCACCAGGGCTCAACGCCCCTAGAATTCAGGGCTGAGCATTCTCAGAAGTTGGGCTCAACTTGTCTGTTCTGTTGTTATTTCCAGTGGCCTTAACTTTAGACCAAACAACCCCAGACCTGGGAGTGGCAGTGGCAGGGTTCTGGCGGGTGTGGGCTGTGTATGTCCCTGGAGCCCTCGGGGTGTGTCTGTGTGACTGACAGGTACTCGGGCTTGTGGTCACTGCAGTTTCTTCTTCATATAGAATCTCTTTGGCAAGATGGCCGACATTCTGGAAAAGATCAAGAAGTAAGTGGCTGTCCCCGCAGCGAGGGTGGTGTGCACCACCCTATCTGACCTCCGTCTTCCTTCCAGCTTGTTCATGTGGGTGCAACCCGAGATCACGCAGAAACTGTATGTCGCTCTGTGGGCTGCCTTCCTGGCTTCTTGCTTCTTCCCCTACCGCCTGGTGGGGCTCGCTGTTGGTAAGGAGAAATACCACTGTCCTGGGAGATGGTGAGTGGAAATGGACCAGAGTGCTCACCCGTTGTCTGCGTGGATCTATCCCTGCTTTCCCCTCAGGCCTCTATGCTGGCATCAAGTTTTTTCTAATTGACTTCATCTTCAAACGCTGCCCGAGACTTCGAGCCAAGTATGATACACCCTACATCATCTGGAAGAACCTCCCCACTGACCCCCAGCTCAAGGAGCGTGCCGGTGCCACCGTGTCCCGCAGGGTGAGTCCCCCAACCCCCACTGCCCTGAGGAAGGTGCAGGCAGAACTGTGAAGCTGGTGGACCCAGACCTCCGGCTCTGTAACCTCTGCTCACTTGAAGCCTGGTGTTTCCCAGATCTTTGAGATAGATGGTGAAAAGTGTTTTTTTCCCTGTCACTGCCTCCTTCATATGTCAGGCCCAGCCAGCCCTGGGAGGAGTGGGCCCGTGTACTCTCCTCTGGTCTTAGGTGGGCGGGGTGCCCAGGCCCAGCCAGCCCTGGGAGGAGTGGGCCCGTGTACTCTCCTCTGGTCTTAGGTGGGCGGGGTGCCCAGGCCCAGCAGCACTCTCAGGAATGTGTAAGAAGTTTTGTAGAGTTTCCATGGGATTGTTCCCTCAGGAAGGAGTGCCCCAGTGACTGCTCCACTCCGCAACACACACACCTTTGTGGGAGTGAAGCATTTATTTGAGTTGGGAGGATCACATTCTGATGTCCAGGACAGCATAGATTGTTGGGCACCTCAGATCAGCCATAGGCCAGAGCAGCCAGGCCTGGAGTAGCACTGCTGACTCTCCTCCCACAGGTAGAGGTCACCCAGAACACAGCTTAGCCTTTTGGAACAACTAGAGGGCCTATTTTAGCACTGGAGTGGCTGGGACAAGGACTTCCTAGGGCTTGGACCATGTAGCACTAGCTAGGATAAGGCTGGTACATCCCAGGGGAGGCCACACCCCTCCTTTTTCCGCTTGTATCCCTCAGGCCTCATATGTTCAGCTCTTTTTGCTTACCAGTTCACATCACATGTACCTCGTTTTTCTTTTGTGATGGTCATGTGTGTGTCTGTTGTTTCCTTTCTGGCCAGCTGTCAGAGCATGACAAGGTACTGTGTCTGCATGGAAGCCCCTTGTCCTGCTGTGAGCTGGTGCTGTGTTGTGACTGATTTTCTGGAGTTGTGTGGCCAGGTGACTTCTGAAATGTCAGTTTTAACTGCTTTAGTGCAGAACCTGTGCGAGGCAACTGTGCCCTTGCATCTTGTGTGCTGGGACCCAGGCTTAGGTCCAGCATTGTGGGCCTGGGAAGACTGTGAGCATCTCCAGGGGAAAATGCTCCCCCCACCCACCGCATCCAGCCCAGTCAGCAAGGAGACTCTATCCAGTGCAGGGCCAGCACCTCACATTCTCCTGAAGGAACAGAGTCTGTCAGTCAGTTCGATGCTGGTACAGGCAGGGAGGCCAGTACGTCCCAATACCAGCAGCGGTTCCAGCTGCTTCTCCCCAGAGCCTGATCAGGATTGTGTGCTGTTGGCAGCTACAGACAACCTCATCACGGAGCTACGTCTCCAGTGCTCCAGCTGGTCTGAGTAAGGATGAAGATGCTGGCCGCTTTCACAGCACCAAGAAGGGCAATTTCCATGAAATCTTTAACTTGACTGAAAACGAGCGCCCCCTAGCAGGTAAGTGTGCGATGAGTCCATGACCCAACCAGTCACGGAGTAGATGGAAGTAGATGGAAGTACGTGGGACAGGGTCTGAGCCCATGCAGGAGGCGTGACCTGCCTCAAGGACATGCTGAAGGACAAGGCCCAGGCTTACTTCCCAGGGAAGGTTCATAGGAGTGGGGTCTTGGATTGTTCCAGAAATCAGGAAGAAGTATGACACCATATTCCCTGCCCTGTTTTATCAGCGTAGATTCAGGTAGGTCTCTTGAAGCAGGAATCCCCATGGATTCCTGTTCTGTCCACATGCTCAGGAGTCCCATACCATTAGCATCCAGGGACAAGCCTGGCCTGTTCCCTATCCAGGCATGTCTGGCACTTTGACTTGAGTGTACCACCTGCCGCAGGTATCTCAAGGCAGTCAGCCTTCTGGAAAAGTTTTCAGTAAGTGACTGAGAAGCAGGGTCTGGGGGTTGGCCCCCTTTCTTGAGCATCTTCAAGCTGATGTGTAGAAAGCTGCCTAAGGCAGTGAGGACTACAGCTTGATTTGGTTACCGTGAAAGGAAGGCCCTTCCCTCGGACACTAGGTGATCTCACTCCTGGCAGACCTCCCTCTCCCCATTGTGGACTCTGTGTATGTATATTCACAGTGCTGGGAATGGAACCCAGGACTGCCCCGTGCTGGTTGAGCACTGTGCCCCCATCAGCTCACACTTGGACCTTTTCTGATGGTCCCTCGAGGATGTGGGCACATCTTTAACAAGTCGGTGCTAATAGGCACCGACATAGGTCAAGGCCCAGGTATTTCCAGAGGAAGGAAATTCCAGATCCATTTTCTCCATCAGTGTGTGAGAATGGTTGGCGTTGCTGCCTCATAAACCGAGACCGGAAGATGCCCACGGACTACATCAGGAACGGGGTTCTGTATGTGACAGAGAAGTGAGTGTTGCCATAGGCTGAAGCATGACCGTTGGGGAGGAAGTGGGAGAGGGTCCTCCCCAGGTCCCAGACACATGCCCAGGTCCAGCACGCCGGCTTTGCAGTTGCTACAGCCTAGGCTCTGTTCCCCACTCTACCCAACTGTCTGGCCTTCCTGACCCCATTCCTGGACCAGCACCCGCCTCCCTTGGGCTGAAGGGGTCTCTCATCTAGGATGCTCATGTGGGGTCAAGGCTATTCAGAAGGCCAAGGAATATAAACTCTCAGGCATGGGGTTTTATAGTGGCCTTTGAGTCCATGACTCCTTGCTGTCTGAGGCTAGGCTAAAGGTAGCTTTGGCATTTCTTCCCTAAGTGGGACTACATAGCACCTTGACCTTGCTACACCTCAGCACCCCCATGGAATTTGAGGGTTACAATAGGATTTGAGGGTATACAGTCATCCTCATGGGAGGCCCTTTTCCATGCTTCTCCCATACATGCAGCAGTATCCAAAGCCCCAAGTACCTTTTTACTCACCCTACCAAAGGGGTTGGCCCGGGAGAGCCTGGTGGGGCCTCAGGACACCTCCCTGCAGCTTCTGCTGGAATCTTCTGGCAGAGAAAGGCCTAGATTGTAGCACAGAACAGGCTGTTCAGTTCCTTCCAGGTGCTAAGTGTGGTGGGTTACTGATCATCCCATGGGGCTATGGAGGCAGTCGGGGAGGACCCTCCTTAGCAGGAGCCCCTCTGGTCTGGCTGCTATCTCGTGCCTCTGCATTTCTTCCCTGTCTAGTTATCTGTGCTTCGAGAGCTCCAAGTCTGGGTCCTCCAAGAGGAACAAGGTGATCAAGCTGGTGGACATCACAGACATCCAGAAGGTGGGTGCCCACCCATCCCACCACTCTCCCAGCCCGGGGTGGAGAGGTTTGCGGATGATTCCCAGATTGGGGGAGATGCTATCTAGAGACGTCTTTGGGTACCGCTGCCACCAATGTTGCACCTTGTCTTCTGGAAGTCTCCGTGCAGAGCCCTGTCAACTTCCTTCTGAGAGAGTTGTGTACCTTGGGCCACAGGGCAGTCTCGCTTCTCCCGCAGTCTTGGGAGTCAGCAGCTGGGCTGGACACTGTTACACATACAGAAAAGGGTAACAGTGAGGTTTGCCTGACCAACTGTGACCCCTGGAAAAAGGATCTCATGTTGCCCAGGCTGCCTTTGAATCAGTTTATTTTGTGCTGCTGGTAATCAAACCCAAGAATCATACATGCTCAGCAAGCATTCTGCCAACTGAGCTGCATCCTAGCCCTTGCTGTGTCATGAAGGGAGAGTTCTGTCACAGACTTCCACCCATGTCTGAGACCCCCCCCCCCCGAGACACTGGGCTCCTGTCACAGGTTCTTATGAGTGAGCACACAGACATTTGTATCCGCAGAGTGAGGCTCAGCAGTTTCCCTAGAGGGTTGGCATGCGGAGTGGGCATTCCTGGAGGGGGCATTCATGGGGGGGGTCTTCTTCTCTGAAACAGGAAGAATCTACTGAGTATGGAGCCAATCAGCTTCCCCATCTGAGGAGCCTGGGTGCAGGCCAGCAGCCTAGATGTGAATAGTCCCTAGTACTAGATGGGGTCTTCTCCTTGTTTCCTTGGTTCAGCCCATGGCTGTATGGTCACTCCTACAGTCAGGGCCATGATCATTCTAGCCTACCCTTCGGGATCAGCCACGCTCACAGGTGGCTTTCTACAGACTATCAGCCACTGGGAGTGGGTGTGGGGCACCTCAGAATCAGGAGACACAGCCCTTTTAGCTCCTGTGGCTGAGATGTCCAAGGTCTCCACAGTGTCTGTGTGTCTGGCAGAGGAGAGTGCCCTGAGCATGTAGAACACTGGCTTCAGCCCTGTCCCTGGGAGAGGCTGGTGGTGATGGCTGTGTTTGCCTTTCAGTATAAAGTCTTGTCCGTCCTCCCTGGCTCAGGCATGGGAATTGCTGTCTCAACACCATCAACCCAGAAAGTAAGTGCCTGGCAGATGACCTCACCCTCTTCCCCATCTGTCACCAGGGGACCTAAGTGAGCCTCCCTGGGATGTGGTTTCAGTTTGGGTAGAGGCTCCTTTCTCCCTCATCATAGGAACCTGCTGCATGGAGTCAAGGTCCAGGAAGGTCTGCTTGGGTAGGCACCATAGTTATAGGATAGACAGGTTGGTGGGTCCCAGAGGGAATGGATCCTGCATCCATTCCAAGGAGGAAAGGCTGGGTCCTCTTATCAGCTGGAGCCTTCTGGGTGAGAGGAGTATTTGGTCATTTGTCCCTGCCAGGCTGCTGGCCTGATCTGACAGGGGCCATTCTAGCCCCAGCCTGGCTATGAAGTGCTCACCTACCCGCCCCCTCCATTTCTTCCCCCCCAGCCCCTGGTGTTTGGTGCCATGGTGCACAGAGACGAAGCCTTTGAGACCATTTTCAGCCAGTACATGAAAATCACATCTGCAGCAGCCTCTGGTGGTGACAGCTAGTATTGACTCCGAGGTGTTGCTGGAACCCTCGCTAATCATTGGATAGAGGATCAGATGGGATGTTCTCATGATCTTTGGCAATAATTCTCCGGGACTGTGGCTGGTTACGGTGGTCTGGGTCCTGCAGACCCGAAGGGCTGGGACTCACCTGGATGGTGCCGGGCTGGCCCGTGCTGAGCGCGTGAAGCACCTTCGTGTACACCTGTGGACACAGGTGGGCAGAGGATCCTCTTAACCTGTTTGAAGGATGGCACAGAAGACACTCGTCCTCAGGCCCTGCTAAGCACAGCTCCTCATTCTCCGTCCTGGCCTGGGTACAGACCCAGCACTTGCCGTCCTGAGAGACTCCATGATCCCATGACCCCTGTTCTCCAGAGGCTAGAGGCTTTTCTCCATCAAAGCCATAGCTGGGAGTGGTTGTGACCCCTTCTTGCCAGGATGGTAAGACAGAGAGGAGTGGTGGGGAGGCCCCTCTCCAGTGAAGAAATGGCCAGTCATCTCACGTGGCCCTCAGACCCTCCTTCCATGTTGGACCTACTATGGGTACTGCAAGACTGTAGGTAGGGGCTCTCTGGGCTTGGTGTGTTTGGGGTACCTCCTCCTCCATTTTTGGTGTCTGGGCCTGAGCTGTCACTCATCTGGCCCATCTTGGCTTGACACTCCAGCCAAGAGACCAGGCCAGTAGTTGATGGCCAGTGAGGGTCCAGAGTGGCGTGTTGGCAAAAGCACACCTTTTTAACACTTTGCTCTTCAGTAAGGTTTTGAGGGCATTCTCCACTCCAACTGCTGTTCAATGAGAACCAGTAGGAGTCTGGCTGGCGTTTGGCCTCCAGGCTGCAGCCGCTCTGAGTAATGGGGTGGGTGGTTCAGGGAGCTGCTGGGATGTCAGGCAGAGGGAGGGCCCTGTGGCACAGAGGACAGCTGTGGGAAGAGCCTAGGGGTAGGAGGCCTGAGTTGCCCTGTACCTCTAACATCTGACAGTATTCCTCCCTTCCTACACGCTCTGCAAGGCCAGGCAGACCCTGCCCTACCCACGCTTCCTGCCCCAGCAAAGATGGAGACTCCAGGGGTGGGTGATCTCGCAGGCCTGGGCCTCTGAAGGGTGCAATCACCATCCCACCTTTGCATTTTCTGGGTGGATCACTCTGGTTCCTTCAGCTTGTCCTGAGTCCTTCAGGTGTCACTGAGATTGTTTTTTTGAAGAAACAGAAGATTATATTTTTTACAGAGAGCAAGCTGTTTTTCTTATTTTTGTATCATTTTTCAAATGTAATTTTTACCTTTGCGCCAATCCTCATTTGCTGGTGTGGGTGTGAGGCCTGGTGGCTTGGGCTCATGACACCCCATTTCCAGGGGCTTTAGGCCACACACTGGTGTTGGGAAAGACTTGTCAGGCAGCCAGATCAAGCACACATACCACCCCAAATGTTCAACAAAGGCCACATAGCTCCAGGTACATGGATGGAAAAGTCTAAACGCGGAGGCAGGACCCTCCTCCACCCAGAGCTGTGGCTTGGGGCCCTGTAATATTCTCATGCTCTGAAGAGCATGGAGTGCGATAAGTTGGGGGGGGGACCTGGTGGCACCCCAACATGCCAGAGGGGAGAAAGCGTGGCCTATGACTTGTCTCTGAAGATGGCTGTATGGCTGATACACACGTATGGGTGAACCACACATGGTGGTTAATGCTTTCTGGACCCTGGCAGTGCCCAGGTTGGTGAATACTATCACTAGGGTGCCACACAGAGGCCTTGAATAGGTTTTTAGGGTGGACCAAGCGGTTTAGTTTGAGTCTCTTTCTCTTGGAAAGGGAGATGAAGACTGACCATGACCCATAGTGGACAGGGCTGGGCCAGGGGCCTGTGCAGGCCCTAGGCTGTTAGAGACACTGGGGTTTGTACTGGATTGTGTGATCTGAGCAGGTATTTAATTTCTGACTAATCACTGACCTAGAATGTTCAATTTTGTATGTCTGAAGCTTGAGTCTGTTTTGGATCTGTACATAATTGTTATTGGTGTAACTTTTGTTCTACAAAAGGATCATATTCTATAAAAAACTGATAGGAAAAAAAATCCTCTCACTTTTTTTTTAAAAGAAAAATCTTGTTTAGATACAAAGTCTTGTATAAATTATAATTTTTATTTAATAAACCCAAAATGCTCTAAGCTAAGGCTTGGGGGGCCTCTGTGTTTGGCAGAATGTATAGGTGTTGGTTGTGAGAGCAACTGAGTCCTCGTGGCTACCACTGCAGCAGGGTTCAGCACAAAAACACCTGGGAGAATGAAGGTGTGGGGCCTTGGTAGTGGGTGCTGTTTGCTCCACTGCACTCCATTGGTGTGAGGGATGCTAGGAACAGAAGGTAGTCCCTGGGTCCCAGAAGACAGTCCAGAGGAGAGGTGACTGGTCTGGGTATATGAGGGGCGTGTCTGGACCAGGCAATGCCTTGGGGTTGCGGTATAAGCCTTGGCCCTGTTGAGCAATGGTCTCTGCCAGCCTGGGGTCCTGAGCAGAAAGGTCTCTGGCAACGCTATGACTATTGATTCAGATGCTGACATCGGACACAGAGAGATACGAGGAAACCCGAGAAAGGCATCCTGATGGTGCCTGTCTCTACCCCATCCCAAATGGGCTTCCAGTAAGCAGGAGCTGCCAAGACCTCTTTGGAAGGGGACTGGGACCAGTGAGTACTCAGGAATGTGGCCATAGGAAGTTGGACATTTTCATGTTCTGTCCATTCACCTACACATCATCCATCTACGGACCCATCTTTACATCCATCCACCCATCCATTCTTCCATACACATCTGTGTCATCCATCCATCCATCCATCCATCCATCCATCCATCCATTCATCCATCTTATTTCTGTCACTCCATCCATAGCTTATGCTGGCTTTGATGCTGGGATACAGCACAGTCAAAGTTCCCTGGGAACTTGGCAAATAGATACCCTCAGCTCTCCTGAGAACACACCCGCTGTGACTGTCCAGTCACTCCTCACTCACCCTCCCTGCACGTCTGTGGCCATCCTTTCTGCACCCGTGGTGCAGCCTTTCAACTGTAAGGTTGAGCCCCTCATCTGGTTTCTTTAGGCCAAATGGAATAGGTGAGGGTGCATGGATGCAGACCCACACAAGTGCCACCATGGCTGTATGGACGCAGGTACCCATGCTCAACCTGGCACAGCTGCTGTGTGAGCACAGCTGGCGCATTTCAGGCAAATGGCAGAACTTCCTAGTTAAATAAGTATGCTATGTGAAACCCATCCCAGGAAGGGACTCCTCAGAGGCTAGAATGGCAGCAGAGCCACCCATGATGGGGTGAGGGACGGCCAGATACCTCAGGGAGAGCACGGTCACTCAGCCTTTTAGCACGGCTTCTCTAAACTATGTTTTCTTAAAATCAGTTTTGAAAATAACAACTTGTGGGGGGAAAAAAAAAGGAGGGGAAAACGCTAAATTCTGCCCAAAGTTAACTTTATTTTTTATGTCATCTCAAACATATCAGATCAAATATGCCTTGCTAATCTTGAAGCCAGCAAGATCAGGAAGCATATTGGGCCATCCTCATGCCAGAGCTCCTGGTTCAAGAGATTGTATGCGGACTGAAGCAGCCGCGGGGAAGCCTGCTACTCCCCACCCTCACTGCTTCATTTTCATAAACAAGAAGTTACTGCATATGACTGCTGCCTAATTGTTGTGCACCAGTGGGCCACAGAGGGAATTAGAATATGGACCAGATCCCTACAGGATCCTAAGTTGCCACTGTCTAATCTTTACTCCTGGCTTGGTTTTTGTTTGTTTTTTTGTTTTGTTTGTTTGTTTTTCTCTCTCTCTCCTAAAATACCTAAGGCCTGGGGTTGGGCTATTGCATCTAAAAAGCATCATGGAGACCATAGCCTACTGCTTGGGAATGTCAGGGGACTCCCTCCCATCCTGTATACAAGTGTCAAGGGTCTTAAGGTCTTAAGTGTCAAGTGCCGTAAGGGTCTTGACACTCATGGTGCTACATGATAATGCCAACGTTAGATTCTGAACATGGTCTGCACTGCTAAGCACCAACAAAATATCCTCGACCTGGATCCCCTCCTCCAGAGCTGGCAGTGGCAGGGGTGGACCAGGGCATGGGCAGCATGTAACAAGGCCAATGGAGACCTGAATCCTTGCGAGAGAGTACAGTTCCTGAGAGCCAGGAGCACCCACAGCCGCCTCAGATCCTGAGCCCCTCTAGAATGCCGGGGTGGATGGCCAGCGGGGTGACCACCCAAGTGTCTGCTCTACACTGTTCCAGGGCTACCTACCTACTTCAGAGAGCTGCTAGTCTCACACCTTTGGGTCTTGCCTATTCAGGAAGAGACCTGGATAGAAATTGCTAGGTGCATTTCCTCTCTACCCAGCTTTCCACTCGACCATTGGTCATTAACTAGCACCACTACACGATTACCTTTAACATGGTCCCTAAACATGGTTGCCTTTACAGCTGCCCTTTTGTCTGGATGGGACTGAATACTAAACATAGAATTTCATGTATGGCTTCAAAGCAGAAGCCCACGCCAAAGTACCTAGAAACAGGCAGCCTGTGGAACTTTGTGGTGACTGACTAATAGGACCTGCATGAGATGCATTCTTTCCTCAGTACAGAACCTAAAACCTACTCTTGTAACAGTCAGTGCCCCTCCCCCTTCACAATCCAAGTTTATGCTGCATATTCTCAGATGCATCCGTTTGGAGACACAGCACAGGCCACAGTGTGTGGCTGAGAAGCTCCTGGGTCAGGAATGCCTTCAAAGGAAACTTGTCATGAGCCCAGGGCTTCAGCCAGAGCAGCTAGAAGTCCCCTTGTGGAGACAAAGCAAATAGCCAAGACATGGATTATATACCCTTTAGATAGACAAGGAGCAATCTGTCGATAAATACATGGAATAGAACCCACAGTGAGGGAAGAATGGATGTGGACCCTGGAAAGACACAGGGCTTGCACCAAAGTACCTGGGGTGACCTGGGATAACCTGCCACTCTACTATTGACACTCAGGTTGAGGGTGGTAAAAACTCCCCAACGTACCCTCTGTGCATGCCAGTTGCCCTCTGCCCACCCCCTACCCACCAGAGTCCAGGTGTGCCAAGTACTTTGTTTCCAAATGGAGCTTCCTTTTGGCCAGTGATTGACAGACTGCTCTGGTCAGAGTGTGTGGGCTACCAGGGTTGACGGAACGAAACTTCCAGTGGGTTCTTTGCTGGATTGTTTCACAGGATGCAGCTGTGACGGCAGCAGATGTGGGGAATCCTGAGGATGAGACGTCACCCTGGGTGTCTTCTCGCAGTGATGTGGCCCCGCTCTGGAGGTACAGCTGTGCAGAGGACCTCACTGTGTTGAGTTACAGTTGTGGCATACAGCAGGGGCCACATGGCAACATCCTGATCATAAATGGAGGTGTAAAGTGAAGGCAAAGAGAGCCATCTACTTTCCCAAACCTGGTCATGAACAACTTCAGAGAAAGTCTCACAAAGGGCTCAGAGTGACTGGGTCGTTACCCGTGTGTCCAGATGGTGTAACCTGATTCCTGGCAAGTATTCATATTATAATGTCCCTAAAATTATTGCAGTATAGCCACTAAAGGGCTGTCTTGAAATTCGCGTGGTCAGCGTGGCTAAAATCTAGCAAGCCACGCGCCAAACCAGCAAGTGCCTTTGCTGAGAACAAGATATGTGAAAAGCGACTCAGATGCACATAGAACCGAGGAGAGGGTGCCAGGTATGGATACAGAATTGTTGACAATGCTGTCTTTTCTAAAACCAAGATTTACCTATCAAAAATAAATTTCTAAGTTTAAATGGATGTATCAACATAATTGATCTGTCGAATTTTTCTTAAGTAGTTTCCACACTCCCCAAGCTCAAGGCAGCCGGCTTCTCAGCTTTGGGATTCTTGCTTAGGACTGTTCTTCGATTCCCCGAGCAAAGAGGCGCACCAACTGGCAGTGGACCCTGTGGAGACAAACGGCTGCACTTAAACTGCCCGTGTATTCCATCGTTCACAGCCGACCTGAGCCCCTCACCTCCCAAAAACCTACGGTTCTCCTTAGTCTCTGAATGTGCACAACCACACTAAATCAATAGTCTGTTTTCAAAAGACAGCTTGCTTTATTCTCCATATGGAAAAAGACTTCTCTTGCTCTCTTCTCTTGGGTTCTATTACAATACCACATGTTGGGGAAGAAATGCCCCCCACCAGCAGGAATGGGCATGCAGGCCAGCCTCCCCCAGCCTACTTATAGCTTGGATGCTGGGCCTCAGGTCTAGTCCATGAGTTACAGGGGTAACCCGTGTTCTGAAGCTCAGCTAAGAGTGACTCTGAGCTCCCCTTGGGAACCTAGGTGACTGAGGTGAAGTCACTCAGAGCCAGTCACCTGACTCTGGCCTCTTGCACTTACTAGCCACTCTAGACTTCTGAGGTCCCCAAAGCTGTATGACCTCTCCAGGCCCCTCTGAGACTCCACCTCCCTCTTTTTCTGACAGCCTCAGGATACTCTTCCCAATACCTCAGGCTCCTGCCTGGTGCTTCTCATGTCTACCTTGTACACCTATCCTTGACCATGAAGGCCAGATACTTTGTGAGGGAATCGAGGAGATCCAGGACTTAGGAAGTACCCATGAAGCCAGTTACTTTTGGTTATTTTTCTAACTGGGTGTGTGTGTGTGTGTGAATATTACAGACAGAGACCAGGGGCAGAATGCAGAGTATAGGTGACAAAGAAACAAGGACAGAGGAGCCTGAAAACCCCACGGATATGTCTGTAAAACCTAGCACCACAGAGTCAGCCCTGCCCCATGCAAACTTCGGATCACACAGCTTCCACACCCGGCATAAGGCCATGGGGAAGCAACACCTCCTGTCTCCTGCCACAGACCCCAGCGAGCTCTTGCCGGTGTCTGGCACCCCGTCTGCTTACCTGACCTCGATGGCCGGGCTGTGCAGGATCTCCCCGTCACAGTTCCAGGAGCTCCGCGAGGACGAGCAGCTGCACGTGGGGTTGTCCGTGCAGATCTGCCCAAATCCCTGCTTCCCGTTCTCCTTCAGGTTGCTGTCCTCGTCGTCCACGTGCTTCGATGTGAACTGGAACTTCTTGACTCGATAAACTTCGACAAAAGTGAAGTCAAACTGCCGAGGCAAACATGGTGGGGGGCGCCAGCCAATCAGTGAGACCAGCCTTCGCCTCTGCGGATTCAGCCAGCAGGGACGCATGGTCTTCCAAAGACTCCAAGCCACCAGTCCTCCCCATGTGACATCCTACAGACAGCATGTGCACTGCCCTCCCAGGAGCACCAGACAACTGCTGATACCTTTGACATCTCAAATCTGAGGCTAGAGAGATGGCGCAGGGGCTAAGGGCCCATACTGCTTTTGGAAAAGACCCAAGTTTGGTTCCCAGCACCCACATCAGGTGGTTCACAGTGTGACTTCAGCTCTACTGGTAACTGAACTCACATGCTCATACCTGCACAAAGATAGACAGACAAACAGATACACACACACACACACACACACACACACACAAACTATTTTAAAATCCTCTACAGATATGAGTACTCTAAAGAATCATAGGATTCATTAGTGGTGATTTGTAGAATTTTCTATTTTTAAAAGTTAATTATTTAATCTTATGTTGGGGGGTTGATTATATATATATCTATGCATGATGTGCCTGTCTGGTGCCCATGAAGGCCATAAAAAGATATTGGTTACCTTAGAACTGGAGTTACAGACATTTGGGTACTGGGAATTGAACCCAGGTTCTCTGTAAGGACTACCAATGCTGTTAACTGCTGAGCCACCCCTCCAGCCCCTAGATTTATATTTTTAAATGAAATTTACATGAAAGAACTGGTAAGGTTGGACAGTATGAAATGCACATCCAAAGATGATCTCTCCTTGCAGTTAACAACAGATCCTACCAACTAGCGGGGCAGGGATTGCCCAAATGTCAGCGACCTTGGGGCAGGAGTGCACCTCACCTGATCGTCCTGGTTGGTGTGACGGACAAGGAATCTCAGGAAGTTGAACCTGGAGCACTTCCGGATGAGGATGAGGTCAGAAGATCCATCTCCCAGATGGGCAGCTGGGGACAGGCCCCCAGGGCTCCGGGGACATGCACAGGACATGTTGGTGGCATTGATAGCCAAGAACTTCCCACATACCACTTGCCACTCTTCCACTTCCTCTGTGGTGGACAACGGATGGGCACAGTTAGTGCTGTGGTGCAGAGGTAGAGGCACAGCAGCAAGGGATTGTACTGCTCACCTTCTTGCCCTGTGTTCTCGGCTTTCATTCTGGCCTGACTACATACCATGGAACTACCCACTCACCTCAGGACCCAAGTAGGTCTGGTGGGAGCAGGTCATCTCCCTACTCCCTTTAAGAGCACTTTTGGACAGCAGTTTAACAAGGAATATTATTTTAACTTGGCAAAGATGTGTTATATTTGGTTATGCTGCATTTGTTTGGTGATGTAAGAATGTGGGTCTAATTATGTCAAGATATGTTGCGTTTGTTTCACTTTGCTTGTCTAAGGCACCGATTGGTTTTTTTAAAAAGCTGAATAGTCAATAGGTAGGCAGGAGAGATATAGGCAGGGCTGGCAGGCCGAGAGAATAAACAGAAGTCTACGTGAGAGGGGGGAGGAGGAGGAGAAGAAGAAGAAAGAAGAGAACAAGGGAGAAAAAGAGGGGCACACCAGGGCCAGAAACCAGGCAGCAGCCAGCCAGCCAGACCCGAGAAGCAGTGAAAGTAAGATAGACAGAAGGAAGAAGGGTAAAAAGTCCCGAGGCAAAAGGTAGATGAAGAAAAGCAGGTTAACTTAAGTTAAAAGAGCTAGCCAGAAATGTGCCGAAGCTAGGTTGAGCATTCATAACTAATAATAAGTCTCCGTGTCATGATTTGGGAGCTGGTTGGTGTCCCAAAAGAAAAAGCCTGGTAGAGCAGACTTCTGCAGGGGTTAATGTGGTCTACCATCTCTCTTCATATGACTTATATAGGCTAAGAACGGTTGCCACAGATTTAAAGAACACAGCTCGCATGTGAATACTCCATAAAACTCCAATCTCAGAGGCCATAGACAGTGCTATAGGCAGGTGACACACCCACTTATCCACATACTATAGCTGCCATTCTTCAGGGTAGGGGTGTAACCAAGTCCTTGTAACTAGAGCAGAAGGCCCTCATTCAGCCAAGCCCAAACAGGGTACCTGCCAATCCATATTCCATAGCAGCTGGAACGGCATGCCTGGCTCTGGTCAGCCTTGTGACAGCAATCGAAGGCCTTGTCACAAATATCGAGGTGTTCTAGCATCTCCAAAGCTGCAATGACCTGCTGCTGCCTACAGCTAGAGCTAAAACTAACACAACATAACCAGGAAAAGCAGGAGATAAGGCGGCCAGAAGAGGTCATGCCCTGAGAGCCACACTCAAGACTATACTTGCAAAGATTACCGGCATTCTCCAGGCCATACAGGGCTTTCTTCTGTTCTTCTTCCAGCTGCTGCTTGCTCTGCCTGCACACGAAGCACCTGGAAGACAGCGTGGTCACTGTGCCTCTAGTGCATGATTGTACATTTCAACAATGGAGCCCCTGGTCCCACACACAGAAAAGCATTTAAACTCTTCACAGATAATGAAAAGGCTCAAGTTTCAAAGGCTTCAACAGCAATTCTTCAGCAGACTACTTTTGAACTCTCAAGATTAGACCTAAATTCACAGCCATTAATCAGCAGTTTCCTTCTCCAAGGCTTGCATACATCTCTGGGACTTATTAACTGCCTAGCTTGGGATGTATCAATGGTGACGTGAAAAATCTACCAAGCATCCTTAGAGTGAAAACGCCCTTACCTCAGGTAACAAGTGTGACGAGCCTATGCTCCGGGCAGTAAGTAACTCAGAGCTGAGCCACTGACTCAGTGTATAGTTCTCATCTGGGTGCGGGTGCGGCCAGCCTAGTCTTGAACCTGCGCCTTGAGTCTGTACCACGGCAAGGACATAGT